GACCAGACAAAGTGGTGAGCTGCTACGTGACTGGATGGCTGCGTAGGTGCTGGAACAAGTAAACGAGGCAGCGAGCGAAGGACGGCAGTCGGACCCTGGGCCCCGTGGAACTCCAGCCCGCGCCACCACGTCACGCACACGCTCGGCGCTGCGATCCGCGCTTATAACGGTTAGTTGGGTAACAGCCGGCGGCACGCGGCGCGGACCCCACGGTGCCCTCGCTTCCCTGGTGGGGTCGGAGGGGACCTCCGGGGTTGGGAGACTTTGTCTCTGGGGGAGGGAGGCGGCCCAGCAGAGGGCATCGTGGTCACAGGCAGTCGCGTGGCCTCGGACTGCAGTGCTGGTGAAGGAGACCTTGAGGCGCTGGGGACAGCGCCTCTCTCAGCCGAGCCGCGGGCCTCGTGGTCATATGCCGGCCCCTGGCCTGGCCGAGGAGTTGGGTCGTAGTGCCCGGTGACGTTGGGGAAGTCCCCTTCCCCTCTAAGTCTTCAATAGGCTCCTCCAGAGATGCTTTGATCTGGAAAAGGGATAACATGAGGCTGCTTCATGTGGTACCTCCAGACTCTTCTGGCCGCTTCTGTTCCAAGGGAAGGGACTCGGGGCAGGAATTATTTATGACTCGTGACATTGTCCGCCCCAACCTTCTTGGCCGACCGATCCTTGCCCCACGTGGTGACTTGCGAGAGTGATGCGGAGAGCCTCATTCCCCACAGCCAAGGCGTGACTGCAGGGTTCGAGTAGACTTTGCGGAGGGGACGGGGCAGCCCGCAGACTCCTGGGAGTGGTGCTGACGGGGGCTCTTTGTCATTCAACCTGTGGCTGCCAGCGTCCGCCGCAGCACCCTTCTACTCATGGACTTAAGGCGGCCCTGTTGAGAGAAATCTGGAGGATAGCGTTTACACTTGGTCCGATGCAAGCTTTTTGTTCCAAGTACGTCTTTTTTTTTTTTTTTCCAGCATGCGTTTTAACATTTTATTACTTTGTCGTGACATATTTGATGGAACAAGCAGTTGCCAAAAACTAGTTTGTAATTAATCTAAACCAGGAGACAAACTTGTTACTACTTTAGTCTTTCCTTGGGTTTCCAGTGGCTGATTAGAAACTGGGCTGCTACTGATAACAGTGAAATGTTTACTCGCTACTTTATTTACTGTAACTTACTATAACTTGTTTTGATTTTTTTTTTTTCCAAAAATTACTCTGGTTTCAACAACTTTTTTATCTCAACCACCAGCCCAGTGAGGTGATGCAAAGACTATGTATCTTCGGTTTTTTTAGTTAGGTGTTAAATAGTACTCATAAACGCAAGTCTTACACCCTGGGGCACAACTTTGCCTTCAGATTGCCATAGAAATGACCAACAATTCAAGATATTTAGCACTTAAAACACGTGGTGAGTAAGATTTATTATTTACACAGAAGTTGAATATATTTCAGTAATTCATTTTGGGTTTAGGTAGATGCTGTTGTTTCATCAGATTGCAGTTACCTTTGTGAAATATGCAAGTTGATCTGAGGAGCATTTTGTAAGATTTTTATAGCTGAATAGATTTGAAGGTTTAGTTGTGCTTAACGGGGTGAACTGTAATGTCCTTAAACAGATTAAAAAGGAAAAAAATCATCACTATAGGATGAAAACAAATGATTAGTGTTTCACTAATTTACATCTTTTAGCCTTTAAATATTAGGGCATATATTAGCCCTGGAAAGGACCCTAATGACCCTGATCAGGATCCCTTGTTTTACCCATAAGGAAACTGAGGCTGGAGGGATTAAGTGATCTAACATCTTAGGTCTGAAAACTTGTTATGGTTTGGTGGAAACTATGTGTGTCATTGAACTCATTTTTGTTAGATTGGCACTCCTGAGTTTTCTTTAGATTGTAAATTAGGATACAAATTATCTCGGCCTGAAAATAGATTTCTCAACTCCTTATGTTCTGCATTCCCATCGTGTTTTCAATTCACTTTACAATGCTCAGTCCTATGCAAGATTAAGATCTCTGTGTAAATGCCTTCATAGCTGTCTTGTTTTTGTTGCAGTTGAGAGGACTAGGAAGATGGAACTTGGGTATGAGGAAAACAGTCCAGATTGTTGTGAATTTTGTATGTTCAGTTTGTTATTGGCTACCGGGCACCGTGAGAGACTTAGGATTCAGCAGTGAACAAATTTCACCATTTGCCCTCCTAGAGTTATAGTCTAGCTGGAAAACAGATAAATATATAATTGCCACAGCAAATACTCTTTACAAATAAGTAGGGACTGTTATACTACGGTAAGTACAGGTTCCTGTAGGAACAAATACTGTATTGTGTAGGTGTGAGGAGACACCCAACTTAGTATAGAAGCAATTTGGGTAGACCTCTCTGAGGAAATACTGTTTAACCTGAGACTTCAAGGATGAAAGAGCTAGCCAGGCAAGGCAGTGATGATGGGTGGAAAGAACATTCCAGACATGAACACTGAAGCTACACTCAAGAGTACAGGGTGTAATGCAAGAGCTGAAATAATTTTACCAAAGCTAAAGCATAAAGTCAAAGAGAATAGAAAGAGATAGAAGTTGAAGAGATAGTATGAGAAAATGGAGGGCCTTGTAAGCCATTTTAAGGAATCAAGGAGGGTAAAAAAATTAAAGGGATTTTTAAGGAATCAAGGAGGGTAAAAAAATTTAAAGGAGGCTCTTATTTTGAAGCTGATTGAAAGCAGTTTAAGGATTTTCAAGCTGGGCACTGGTGGCTCACGCCTGTAATCCCAACACTTTGGGAGGCGGAGGCGGGTGGATCACTTGAGGTCAGGAGTTCAGGACCAGCCTAGCCAACATGGTGAAACCCTGTCTCTATTAAAAATACAAAAAATTAGCCGGGCGTGGTGGCGTGCTTCTGTAATCCCAGCTACTTGGGAGGCTGATACAGGAGAACTGCTTGAACCCAGGAGGTGGAGGCTGCAATGAAAACTGAGATCACACCACTGCACTTCAGCTCAGCTCAGGCGACAGAGCAAGACTGTCTCAAAAAAAAAAGGATTTTCAGTGGGGCTGGAGATAACCTGATTGGATTTTGCGTTTTAGGAACATCACTTTGTATGCGATGTGGAAAACAGGCTGAAAGGAGGCGTTGGAGTGGTGTGAGACCACAGTGATGGACAAGACAGGATTTGGTAGAGAAACAGACAGGATTTGGTGGAAACCAGATGTGGGAGACTGGGAAAGTCAAAGACGTTAAGGATATAACGTTCAACATGTTATATCCTTATATCCTTTCTGGCTTGAACGAATATAAGTTTATTAGGTGGTATTTGTTTGTCTCCGTTTAACCAACAGGGACACTAAGAAGTTGCGTGACTAGACCAGGGCTGCTCAGCTTGTAAGGCTTGGAGACAAAATTCAAACTGTTGTTTTCAGTTTTTGTTGGCAACCCCTGAGAATGGTGTTTTTCTTTTTTCCCTTTTGAACAGTTAAGTATGGAAAATTTCAAAACACAAAGAATTGAGCGACACGATTTATCTCTTTCCCTATCTACTTTCCCCAGACCCTACTGGATTACTGTGAAGCAAATTCTACCAATGATTTCATTTGTTTTATTTCAATATAGATATCTGAAAGATAACTCTTGAGAAAATCATAACCACAGTGCCATTACCTACCTTTAAAAATTAACATCACCAAATATCCAGTCAGTATTCAAATATTCCTCAGTTGTTTTTAGATAATTGGTTGGTTTGATTTGGGATCCAAACACATTAACATATTACATTTGTTTGGGATGTCTCTTAAACTTTTTAATCTATAGGTTCCCTCATCTTAATTATTTTCCTCGTAATGTATTTTCCTTATAAGGTTGGTGCAAACGTCATCGTGGTTTTTGCCATTACTTTTAATGGTAATTTAAAAACCACAATGACATTTGCACCAACCTAATATTTGTTGAAGGAACCAGGCCATTTTTCCTCTAGTTTCTCTCATCCTGGATGTTGATGAATATGTCCCTCAGGTATAGATTTAACATGTCCTAGTTTAATATGTCCCTCTATCCTTTGTATTTGCTGTAAATTGGTAGCTAGATTGAAGACTGAACAAATTTAGTTCAGGTTTGATTTCCGAGTGGGAGTGTTGGGGGAGAGGACAGGTATAATTCCTAGATATTGCTGTGTACTTCCTTCAAGAGGCATATATTTGGTTATCCCTCTTTCTACTACATTAATAGCCTATTTTCATTATTTCACTAGTGGTTTGCAAGTGGAATTAATTATGGCTTTAATTCTACCATTTATTTTTAATTTAACTAGAATACCTCTATAAAGAAAGGTACAATTTGAATAGGAAGGACAAGTTAAATTAAAGTTTATGTTTTAATACAATATGGTATGTTATTGACACTGTCTTTTTCTGGAAATGTATTTAAATGTATCGAGGTATATCCTCTTAAAAGGCCACTATTTTAAGTTGTAAAAGTGTTTTTAGCATTTGATGTTAACATTTCAAATGGCTTTTAGTATTTAGAATATTTAAAATTTTTGTCCTTAAATTGATGGCGTTTCTTTTGGTCTTTCATGCTCTTTCTTGGAGGGCTTTGCTGTTCCCACAGCTTTTAGGGAATACCTGGTAGAATCACTACTAAATGCAAACCTCTAGCTATAAAAGGATTCCAGATTGTAAGTTCCTCAAGGACGGGGATTGAACACTCTTATTGATGATCTGCTTTTCCAGTTGCTTCCTGGGCATTTCAAACTTAATATGTCACTTAAAGCTCATTATCTCTGCCTGTTCTCAAGTTTCCTTCATCTCCAAACCTAGTTTTTTTTCTTCTGATTCTACCATTCTTGAAGGTAGCCCGGCTTAAAACCTCTGAATCATCTTAATGTTTCTCCTAGTAGGCCTCCCTGCCCTACCACATGCAGTTTCTGCCAATCCCTTGTCCCTTTTGTTATTTCTTGTCCAACCCCCCACTTTTCATTTGTAATACTGCTACCTAGTTTATATGTTTTTCTCTTTGCAGGGAGGGAGGGTTACAGGAGATTTTTACAATGAATGGAAGGACTAGTTTAGGTGGCATGTTTGGTTCCTAGTGTCATCCTGAGAAGAGTATATAAGTTATAAATCTATAAATTATACTTTATAAATTTATAAAATCACTCTCTTGCCCAGGCTGGAGTACAGTGAAACCATCATGGTTCACTGCAGCCTCTAACTCCTGGGCTCAAGCAGAGCCACCTCAGCCTTTTGAGTAGCTAGGACTACAGGCATGGGCCATAATACTCAGCTAATATATTTAAACTTTCTTTTAGTGATAGGGTCTCACTATGTTGCCCTGGCTGGTCTCAAACTCCTGGCCCCAAGCCATCCTCCTGCCTTGGCGTCCTAAAGTGCTGGGATTACAGGTGTGAGCTACCCCACCTGTCCAGCAATAACAATCTTCTGGGATCACAGTATGCACAATGATAGGAAGGGTTCACATCCACCACACCAGTGAGACGGTTGCATGGGCTGAACCATTGAAGGGTGTCACTGACCATTTCTCTTGCAGAGTAAGATCCAATTCTGTTGGTTATCTACATTATCATGTTGCTAATCACAACTCATGATATTGTTGAATCTGACTTAATTACAATGACTTAGCCTTTGTATAGGAGAATTTCCTCAAAATGTACTGATATTATAAGCTGTATATTTGATCATTGGTTGAAAAATATGTCCTCCCTCTAATTTTGCTCTTCCTATACAAACCTTTTGAAGATTATTGAATGAATGAAAATCTATACACTGCTCTGGTGTGTTAGACTATTTTGGAGAGTAACAGGGCCTTTATAATTTGTCTTTTTGAGTTTTGGGAACCAAAACTTATGTTTTTACTTTATTGACCTGCTCTTCTGTTCCCGTATGAGAGGTTTTTATCCTGGGGTCTGCATATTGATTCCCCAAGGTCTATTGAATT